CTGTCGCGTGAGGAGTGCGACCAATCAGCCGGCTATGCCCAAAACACAGATCAACGGAGATCAATGATTTGTAACGGTTGTTTGGGTATATAATGTCCTTCCCCACCCCACCCACCCCACCCCCGCGATTTTGCGGAGGAGAGATGGGGAAGATTGCTAGTCAACCAAGTCTCGACCTCAAAAACAAACCTTGAATCATAGTCATTCATACTCTACCAGTAGTATCGTCCGCTGCACATGCCTCTCAATCGGAGTCTTTTTAATGTGAGAGCAGCGCCGCCCTGGCACTGTGCCCACTGGGGCGACACTCCATCTGTCAACCGCCGAGTGAAGCGTCGCTTTGCGAGTCTTCGCCCCAGGAAAAAATCTGGGCTGGGCTCAAACTTAACCCGCAAATGGCTCGGGTCCGTCTTCCCCAGCAGTAACCCTGACAACATGTGCTCCCTAATTTGAGGGTGACCGTGTTTAGTGAGAAACTTACCAACCAAAAAAACTAAAACCAGTGCAACTGAACGCCTGTGCTTTTCTGGGCCATGTTGCTAGCCTTTGTTTTGAGCTGCAGCCATCTCATTTACAGCCACAAGGAGAGGCTGACGGCTGTGTTTCTCAGCCGAGGCCGTTCCAGTGGTTACAACTCGAGCATCGAGCAAATTTGCAGAAGTAAAGCCTAAGACTCGCTGAGAACCGCACAAGAACAACTATGAAGCAAAAGAAGTCGTGATGCCAGCGCTGCATCTTGCCGCATCACACCAGGAAGCTGCGGTTGTGACGACCACCTGAGCTGTGGTCAGGTCGCACTAGCGTGCACAAATCGCAAAAGCGAGGAAGAAACGGGGACAGGCAAGTGAGGTGTGAGACACTCAAGAGGCGTAACAACTGTTGATGAAAAGGTGTCAACAAGTAGCAACATGGGTGGGCAGGGCAGTGTCCCTTTGCTTTCCGTTGGTGTCCGCCTCCAAAAACAAACGTACCACAAAGAAAGGACCTACCCATGTTGGAGAGGTTTTTGACGCCATCTCTTTGGCCAATTTGCCTGAAACAAGGACTTGTGCAGTATGTCAGTGTGGTTGCTGCAGTCCGGTGGTAACGGGTGAGGCAGGAGCTGTGCCAGGAGCACTCCCAAGCTCCTCCTCCCTGAAGCCCCCCCGCAAAAAGACAAAACTATATAGCTTTGAAGCTTTGACAAACCCTTCTCGGGAAAATAGCAAAAATAATAAACAACAATCTGGTGACCTGAAACTTCCGATTTGCTAATTCGTTACTGCAATTTGTGGTAAATTGTGTTGCTCATCCCTGGGTTTGTCTCTCAGAGTGGTTACCTTTGTTTCCCTTGAACACAAAGCACAGAGGGTTCCCTCAAAACAAACACGCCGGAAAAGAAAAGCCAGAAAACCCACCATTAAGTTGGACAACTCACTTTGGCCTCTACATCCCTCTACACAACGAACCTGCTTCCTTGCCATGTTGGCCATGCCGCAAATGGCGTTCATGAGGTCCCGCCAGTAGTTGAGGCCCTCCGCCTCCGCCTTTGGAACCTCCAACGTGTAGGGCGCCGCCGGCAGCGTCAAGCCCTTGGGGGTTCGGTGGATATGCGCCATGGTCAAAACGCGCCGTGAGGCTGGCAGGGATGGTTGAATAGAAGCTTGATGGAGAAATCGGACAACCGTGACAAGGATCCGCAATAAGAGTAAATATGCGTGTGATGTGTATTCGGGGCCCTTTGGTGTTGCTTCCCATTTGACGGGTTCCCCATCCAAAGTCATAGCCATAATTTAATGCAAGTAGGGGAACAAGTTAGAACCCTGAAGTTTAGCCCGATTTGCGTAAGCGCTTGGTGGGTGGATGTGGTTGATTTCCGTGCAATAATTACCTGGATTGCAAATGGAATGACAGGGCGCGGCTCCCTCATGACCATGGCCAGATGCCATTAGTTCCAGTGGAGGGGACAAAAACCCAAGACGTCCGGGGTTCCTCTCGGGGACCCTTGACACTTGTCTCTTTCCCCCGCCCACACCACTCACAGGGAGAAGGGGTGGTGGTGGTCCACTATCTGACAAATACCCGTAATTTGTGTCCAACCGACCCACCCAGGCGAGGTTACTGCGAAGGGGCTGGGGGACGACCAACCACAAGCCAATGGCCACTGAACGGAGAGTTGGCTTCTTTTGTTTTTTCCTACAACAACGAGCCAGGAGTCTAGGATAGTCTAGGCGTGTTGGAATAAATGCCTTTTACATGCACTCTTGGAAAAGTACTGGCGAGAGAGGCTTTCTGTTGTTCACCCCTCTCCCCCAAACAGCTTCTACACGGAACAACTGAACACAGGGTATGCACCTTGCTTAAGAAAACGGGTGCATGCCCAAATTGGCTTTCCTGGTCGTCTTTGCTTAAAGCACAAATGGGTCTCCCTATTTGGCCAATTCCAAATGCCAGTGGCCCCTCTTATGCATTGGTCTCTTGCCCAAGTCCTTTCCAACCACCACCTTACCCCTTAAAACTCCAAGCCCTGGGGAAGTTAATCTTTTCCAGACATATAGCCCATGTTACCCAAAAAGTTGAAAAGTTGTGCTTTTAAGAGGTAAGCCACTAGTCAAAACATGTTGAGCCGCAACTTTCTTCTGCCAGGCTGGCGGATAGTAAAACTTGGCTGAAACTACCGTCGCAACCTGAAGCATTCAGGATCATGGTTGTGGAAGATAGTGAGGCAGACCCCAATAAAGACGCCCGAGATTTCCAGCTGACTGCCAGACAATACTATTTTGAAGGCACTCACACGGACTGACCAAAAGACCCAAGACAATAATTGTCTGGCACCTCCCAGAACCCCCTCCGAATAAGGACATCCCTTTCCGGTCAAAAACCAAAAAAAGGCCAAACAAAGTAGGTTTAACCTGCCAAAGCTATTGCCAAATACCTTTGCCAGTACTGACTCCTTTCACAGTCTTGAGGGTTGCCATTCCAGAAACAAAAAATGGCTACGTAGCCGGCAACAGCTGCACAATTTGTTTAGACAAACAAGATTTGACAAGCTCGTACAGGGTACCCCCGTCAAGGCTGGCCCCCCAAATAACACAAAACCCCGCGGATTAATCCTGGCACTCTCCCATATTTGTCCTATTGCAGCCCTGTTGGCCAAACAGGGCTCCACACAGGAAAACATTTGAGAGGACTGGCCCAGGTCCGCATTAACCCGAAAAGGACCTTGTCGGCCTTGAAGCGGGAAGAGGTTTATTAATCATGCCCCTCCATTACTACCTTCTGCCCACCCGAAGAGGTTTGATTCTGATCCATATTGTTGTAAACCTGAACATGTCAATGCAAAACAAGATCAAAGAGATCCCTGGCAGGCCAAACAAAGAGCGCAAAAAAAGGTCTTTGCCCAGCGACGATGGGGAAGTCGGCAGCCTTTTTGGAGCCAACTATGGCCTCGCGAGATCGTGGCAAAACCGTCTGTGGCTGATACCCTGAACAGCCACCTTGCCCAAACATCCTGCAGGCAACTGCGGACAGGTTGCCTGCATTGTTGTGCAGCAATGTTTGTCCCTTCGACGACAAAGAGTCCAGGGAGACTCATTCTCCAACCCCGAGCCAGTTTTTCGACCTCGATTCATCTTTCGGCTTCTGGGCCAACAAACCGGTTGGGGGACAGCAAAACTTTCTTGTGGTCCCCGAAAGTCGAGGCAAGTTGGGCTCAACCGAAGTCACCCACCCGAATCACAGCTCATGTGGCCATGAGTTTCAATAGGGAACCCCTGAAAAGTGGTTGGTGGACATATACATCCCCAACTAAATCATGCCCACTAAAAGGTCCAATTAAAATTTACTTGCATGTCTCACCTGCAAGGAGACGAGCTCGGGCTTGGCGACCGCCAGCTCGAAGGTCTCATTCCTTCGCAAATTGGATGGGCAAGTCTGACGCATTGACTTCAGGTTGCGGGACATCAAACTCCGCCGAGAAATAACGTCCACCAAAGGGCCCCAAAAAAGGAGTCGTATGGGCTCTAAATGGAAGTGTGTGCGTGTGTGTTTGTTGAGGGTACCCTTTTTTCGGCTTGGCTTAAAGGGAGAGCCAAAAGGAAACCGGCTCACCTGTGTTGGCACGTGCTACGCGCATGCTACCGGAATCTGACTCCGGAAAATTGCAAAACGAGCCCTTCTTCTCCGGCCAAAGCTCCAGACCGGGTCCAGGTCCTTCACTTTCACCGTGGACCCTCGGCAATGGCACAACATTTGCACCGCACCACGGCACGACTGGTTAGTTGATTCATGGGGCCCCCGTGTTTAGCTTAGTGTTTTTGCGGTGATTTTACGCACTGTGACATGTTGAAACGCTGTTACGCACTTTTGGATATTACACCCCCCTTTTGCTTAACACGCACACAAAGTTGTGGGAAGGTTGACTGAATTTCCCGGCTTTTCGTTTCGCGCTATGCCACCTGGCAATTCGAAAGCTGAAAACCGGGCGGCGCTGGCAGAGGCGATAGCTCTCGTCCTCACTCACTGCGAAAACCTTGACGAAGGGGTCGGAAGAGGCACGCCCTGGCCACAAGGCATGGTCGCACCTGAGCCGAGTCAGGAAACCTGACGAAGCACTTGGAGGGGCCAACCGGTTTTGTCGGCTGAAGGCGGGGCTAAAACTGACAGCCGAAGGAAAGGCAAAGCAGTCAAACACGTAGATCCCTAACCTTGACAGAAGCCGCTGTGTGTCGTAGGGGATCTTCCCATGGAACAAGCTGATTTGTGTTTCCAGTGAAGATCGAGTCAATGAGAAGCCACGACCCTGCTCTCGGCAAAGAGCACTTGTGTTCGCTGGCCGGCAACGGCTTGGGATGCGCCATTCGAAGAGAATACTCAAAACATTTCATCCTGAAACAACACATGTTTGGCTTGGTGTGATGTTCAGGGGAATTCACCGAATGCAAAGAGAAATAAAGGCAGGAACGGATGAACAAACAAACGGCCAAGCACAAACGGCGAGGCAGCCGGCCAGCCAGCCAGCC